GCAGCGGGGGTCTGGCCGGCAGACAAGTGTCTCTGCGCGGTCATGGTGACCTACAGACGGCTGTCCTCTGGAACACACCTCGCCCCATTCAGCTGCTTTTCCACTCGCTTCTCTTCATGTTTTCCATCTGTTATCTTTAAATGCACTCAATACTTGTGATGCTATTGTGGACGTGGACTAGAATCACATTTTCAAGCAACATGATTAATCAATGGCTGAGCTGAATATAATTATTTTTCACATCTGAACTTCTATTGAGGTTTATCAAATTAAGCTTTGAATGTTAGATGTCATTGTCCTAGAAAGGTAATAAAGAACTCCTTGAACAAAGTCTTAAATTTGATTAAATCATTCTTTGGATATGGTTTAGCTAGCGTCTTAAATTAATAAAATCATCACTGAGTCCCTTTTATTCTGTGCGGCAAGTAGGAGCAAACAATTTGTTTTGATCGCAACAAAAATGCTCAACTTTTGGACATGGTATCAGAAATGAACAACTTTTGGACATTACGGGGAAAGTCTTGTTCACTACTTCAGAGTCGGAAACAATCCTAGGCAGAAACCTGATTCTAATCCTACAAATAGTATAGTAATACTACTAATATTAGAGTAGCCTACTCTGTCTGAAATGTCTGAAACTCTGCAGAAATACAGGCTTTACACTAAAGTGGCAGACAGGTGCTAAAGCGTTACTATGGCCCAAACAATTCAGAGCGAGAAACACGCTGCACTTTCAAAAACGAGGCAAAAAAAACTTGTTTTGCATCTTTTTTGAATGTGCAGTCTCATAATGGAGATGTTTTGGGCCGTTTTAACAAGTTTGCACCTGTCGGCCGCGTAGAATGCTGATTTAGAATGAGTGTTCAACGTTATGAATCAAGCAACTATTCTGTAGAGCCCTAGTTGAAATTCAAGATGGAGATGTCTGCAAATCCTCACCTGCATGAGAAAAATGTAACTTATAAAGTGGCCACTGAGTGTACAGTCTAGCTTAAGATTCAGACTGAACATGTGAAATCAGAGGCCAAGTGAGCACAGAAATAGAAATCACATGTAGAGAACTGAGAGAGCAGACGGGAGTTGAGTGCAAGAGAGAGGGATGTGATGAGTGTTAGAGTGAGAGAAAGAGAAATTCAGAGAGTGAATTAGGCATAATCCAAAAATACGTTTCCCTCCACTTTTAGCGACTTCCTTTCCAGAGTTTTGAAATGGTAATGAGTCTGCTGGTATTTGCATAATGTGCCTTTCCTCATCCCCCTTTTTTCCTAGGCTCTCTTCTCTTCAAATTGCTCTTCTCCTCCTCTATCCCTTTAACGGCACCCACCTCCCCCCTCCACCACTACCCATCCATTCATTCATTGCATTTATTTTACCTACACCTCCCTCTCTCAGGTTCTTAAGTGCTCATGGATAATTGACAACTCTAAATAAAGATAGGATGTTCAGTCAGGAAAACAGAAGGCAGCCAACAGGTCTGCCACTTCCTGTGTTAACAGCTCTCCACTCCAATCCCTTGCCGCCTCGTGTTCTGCAAAGCCTTAATATCAGCGCTTTGCAGACAGAAAGTGGACGTGCGCACAAAGCATTAAGGCTAAAAAAGTAAAAAAAGACGTTTGTCACGTTTCTTGGCGATTGCCGACGGCGCACACTGATGAAAGAAGCCGTGGATAGAATAGCAAAACCACTTCTGGTCTACATTATCTGACACTTCATTTCCCATCCTCTTCTCCCAATTTGTCTCCCTCCTTCCTCATCACTTCTCTCACCTTCCCCTCCCTCCTCCTCCTCACTCCCTGCAGTGTCTGTGCTCTGACAGTTATGTGTGAGTGGAGCGTGGGCTGCTGCTAATTTGTGCAGAGTGGGAGAAAGCTGTTTTGGCTCGGGGAGAAAAGAGCTGAGTTTAGGCTTAATGCTGGGATGGATGGACAGACGTGGCAAACACACACAGACACCAACACACACACACACACACACACACACACACACACGCATCGATAAATGTTTGTCGTTCATTTACTCCCACTCTCCTAATGTCACGAGTGCATTCACAGATACAAACAGATGCTCAAACCCACATTGACATCAAGTGTGGAGGTGACTCCTAAAAGGTGCTGTCTCTTAAAGAACCTCCTCCTGCCCAACCTGTCATCCTGCTTAATATGCACCCAAAGCTGTCACCACCATCATCATCATCCTCCTCTCTTCCTAGTTTGATTCCGATTGATCAGCTACTTTAGAACGAAAATGCACTTTAAGGTTACCAGCCTTTATTTGTTGCCGTATCACTTTCTGTGTTTAAATGCACTTCACAATATAGGACAAACAGAACCATGCTCACAGGAAGTGTTGTTGTTGCTCTTGGCACCCGGTTAATTAATTCTAACACATCTCACAAATGTGTTAATGGAGCATTGTACTGTTCTTATTCCAATAAAATGCTGTTGTCCTTTTTTTGGCAGGCATTTGTAGCATTTAGTTATTATTAGGGCTGTAGCAAACTCTAAATGATTAAAGTCGTATTTAATGAGTCCAGTGATATGACTGTACACAGTGACGAGCTAGTTCATTGAACTCAACTTGAGTCATACTAAATTGCAACCTAGACGCTAGGGCTGTGCAATTCATCGCAATTACGATTTTGGCCCGCCACAATTAAGAAAACAACATAATCGAAAAAAACAATTATTTTGCTTTGCTAGGTTGTGACAGTGCACTGCAACATATTTGATCTAATTTATTTTGGTCTCATTTATTTGTATTTATCATATTTACATATGTTTAGTAGCTTGTGGAAGTGCGCTCCAAAATATTTGTTGATCTTGTTTATTGGTATTTATTATTTTGATATTATTTATTTAAATGTATCATTTATTTTTGTATTGGTTTTTCAGTTGAATTATACGTTCAGGGTAATCAACAGTTAAAAAGATACTGTTCAAATTATTATTTGTATTTGTTTTAAAGTTCAATAAATGGATTTTTTCAAAGTCAATGAATAATCGTATTTAATAATCGTGATATCAATTATTGACCCAAATAATCGTGATTATGATTTTTGCCATAATCGCACAGCCCTACTAGACGCCTTGGCTTTCACTATACTGCACATTGGGAAAATGCATGTGAAGTTTTTTTATGGGACATGGAACTTTTGACGATAATCATTTTGAATACATTAATGTCATGTCAATGATATATGTACAGCGCTTCAGAAATCATTTCTGTTCACCTACACTTTTATATTTAGTCAAAATCATTTGCCAAAAATTAGAAAAACAACCATTTAACAGAATAAAAAATACATGACAGATTATGAAATAATTTTTCTATTTTGATTTTTGACAATCATGTAGTGAAAATCTGATATTGTGTAAGTACTGGTGCAAATTCTACTTGAAAAACTGTTAATACAATTTGTCCATACTGCTTTTGATCATTGTAATGATATATGATACTGTAGGGATATTTGATCACTTTGACGAGTGAGTCACCGTATACATTTGAACAAAAATCCATTCTATTGAATAACCAGTCCTACTTATAGTACAATATTTCTCTCAATATTAATGTTATTTGTTAATATGTTTATGAAATGCCAGATGCATTCACGTGTAAAACCCTAAAATGCTCCTCGTGAACATACAATAGCATTAACAGATTTAATTGACAATAAATCAGATAGAACCCAAATCATTCCAAGCACATTACACATCCTGCATATGTTCCAATGTGTTATATGTGTGCAAACGTTGGTCTGTGTGTTTGTGCAGTGTGTCACTGAAGCACTGAAACATGCTATTAGCAGGCTAAGACTCCAGGCCTTGGCAACCATATCAGTGACATCAGTGCTGCATCAGCATTGCATCCCGCCACATGGGACAAACATACCGCTTGTGGGTTGATGACATGCTGATGTGGCGTGATCATCCCTCGTTCCTGTCAAACAAGAGCGTTGAAAGTCCCAACAAATGTCTCCTTTGCACGTGCACTTTTTCGTGGGCGCTGCTGGCATGTGCGGTGCGAATGCTAAAAAGGAGCCGGCCACTGAATAATACATTGCCATGTACTAAAAACAATGTGCGACGTCAGCTGGTGGACATGATTGCATGTTCGGGAGTAAATAATAAGTTTGCTCATAAACAGACACTGACGGGGTGTGTTCTTGAGCTGTACATTAGTCAGCTAAGGCGACCGCGCTATCACCAAATCCCCAATTGAGCATTGATGTTCTGTAATTAGCCGTTGTGCATCACGCAGCAGTAAACCAAAGACATGACTGCATCGATCACTCAGAGTCCTCAGGAAAACTCTCACTCAGAGCTGAGTAGGGAAGCTACAGACTTTAGTACTGGTAAAGATACTGTAGAGTGGCGCAGTAATTGGACCAAAACCCAGAAATGAGTTGGCATGTTAGCACTTCTGGGTTCCCTCATCTCAAGGTCAATGTTACTTTTAGTAAGGATTTTCACGTTTTGTTCTAAAACATAAAATACATCAAAATACCCAACTTGTGACTGTGGTCTGTGGTTAACCACGGCATACAAGATCTTCAAGTTTTGTTCTAGGACATAAATGGTCAATACCCCGCTGTCTTAAGGGACAAAATGAGTTTACCCTACATCCTGTTGAACATTAGCCAGCTTTAGCTTAGATATTGACGTGAAGTTATGTTAGCTGTTTATTTCTTGTGATTGCATTAGCACTTCAACTGTTATAAAACTGTTGTTAAAATATGTAGCTATTAAAAACATGTGTTTGCCTTAAACCTTATTTTCTGGAATATTCCAAAATCAAATGGAAAAATTCCACTGCTTTTTGTCGAGAGCTCTTGCGGTGATAACTTCCGGGTCGGCCTACGGAAATACATCATCACTGACCCACTTTATACCAGACCGAAATAAGTCAAGCTGATCCAATTTACAACATGTAAAATCTAAGTAAAGTCAGTTCAAATGCAGTTGACACCTAGCAATACAAACACACACACACAGATTTCGTACCAAATGGTTGAGTGCTCCTGGTTTTAGAAGTTCCACAGGCTGCTCGTTGCTGGTCCATCCACCTGTCAGAGGAGAAAAGGGAGAGTTAAAGATGGTGCTCAGTACAGTAGAAAGACCTGAGCTGAATAGATTTCAAACCATCAACATTTGTGTCCTGCTCAAAGGTAAGAGAGGTATGGATTTATATAGAGGCTAATAGAGGGTGAGTGGGGACAAAATAGAAAGTGACCAGTTCAAAGCAGATGTGAACAGAAATACGTCTTTTTAAGAAAGTTGGAGAGGAAAAGAGAAAGAGAAATTACATACAGACAAATCCACGGTGGCTCAGTTTATAAACATTTAAACCTTGAAAAGTGGCTTACTGAAATACATCTCGAAATATTTCATAATGATGTCATGACTATGCAGACTTATTTCATCTATCTTTTGGATTTGCATGTGGGTAGTTATGAAATTAGTATTACAAAACCCCTGTAAATGGTCAAATCGGATAAAAAGATATGTATAACTAAAAAAGAAAAGTCATAGTCCTACTTTAGAGTGACAAGCATTTCGTTTTTGTAACAATGCTTTCTTTCTTCAGTTGTCTCAGAGACATGTCTTCTTACAAATGAAGATAGTTGCTTTTGTTGATAAGTGCAGTGATGTACAACTTAAATTCCTAAAGGACTTTTCTTTGATAGTCCAACCAGGAAACATACTTATCTAATATAATATTCTATAATCTGCTCTTCTTACATTCCCAGTCCTCTGCACTACTTGTTTTATCAAGTCAGATGTTCTTCTTGCATCAAAGCAACTCCATTAACATCAACAATCATTCAAACAAGATTTAGAGAATGCTTCATTTAACATAAAATGACGAGTTAATTTAACAAAAAAACGCCAACGGAGTATAGTATGACGCATTGAGAAGCCAAGCCTTCAAACTAATTGAATAATCGTCTTTTCAGAGAGAAGATACAGACCCGCGGTATATCTGTGCTACCTTGAACTACTATAACAAAGGTGATATAATATAGTCTTTCATGGCTTGATCTGACCTTGGTTTGGTGTGGACAGTTGGGTAAAAGAACATTTTTTTCTGTGTGTGTGGGCTCTGTGCTCCTGCACATTGGGATTGAATAGACATAAGAAAAGAAGGCAGTGCTGACCTTCAGCTTTTATATCAGGTTGTTAATATCCACATCAGATTGAAAGAAAGAGTTCGTACGGGAAGTTTGAGGTGTAGAAAGACAAGTAACAACAATGTTAATACATGCATCACATTTCTTCTCTCATGTATGTTTAGTAGTCAATAGAGGGTTTTTTGTAGGCTGACTCGGAAGTAAGCATTGCCCCAGCTCCCTTAACTCAAAGCGATTGGATATTTCCATTGGACAATGATAGAAAATACGATCTATGGCAAACATACATTTATAATACTTAAAACTATTGTTTTCAAATGGATAGTTTCATCGTATTAACAGAACTTTTATAATACGTAAAGCCTAAATTATAATCGTCAAAAGTAAATAGCCAAGATTTGGCTATAAACATCACCGTCTTTTTTCCAACATTGCTTCCAACTTAAGGCGGACTTGTGTTTGGCGTGGGTTACGTTGGCATGTAAGCCACTTCAAATCTGCTTGCCGCCAACGGAGCCCCGTGCCCCGCCTGAAATTCAAGGTGTTTTTTTTTTTTTTTTTTTATTAAAAAACTATATATATATATAGCACCAAATTGCAACTGAAGTAATCTATGGTCACTTTTCACATTGAACATGTGCCCTTTTATTAAATAAACTAAACGCCTATGTTATTTATCCAATGTATGTGCATGTTTCATGTTCACATTCTCCCTCCGCTCCGTTTCTGAAGGGCGGGGCCACACACACACACACACACACACACACACACACACACACCACCACACCACACACACACACCCACACACACACACACACAACACACACACATCACACACACACACACACACACACACACACACACACCACACACACAACACACACCACACACACACCACACACACACACACACAACCACACACACACACACACACACACACACACACACACACACACACACACAACACACACACACCACAACACACACACACACACACACACACACACACACACACACACACACACACACCACACACACACAACACACACACACACACCACACACACACACCCACACACACACACACACACACCACACCACACACACACACCCACACACACACACACACACAACCACACACACACACACACACACAGGAAAGGAGGAGAACAACAAAGTGTAAAGAAGTCAAACAAATCTGCATTATTGCCCCGAGCTCTGCTGTCTGCCCGTTTGTGTCCCCCCCCCCAGTTTCAAATTCGTTTATTATTATTTTTTAACCTCAAGCCGTTATCGAAAAAAAAAAAAAAATAAAAAAAAAAAATTCCGAGCACCCTGCCAAGGCAGTAAACCTAGGGGAAACACTGATCTGCATTACTCTAGATTTGTACTAGCGGGGTATATACTGATATCATTATGTAATAGTAACAAAATAAAAAAGGTAAAAATCTTGAATACTTGCGTCTGATTCCAGACCTTATTTCAGAAAACTCACCAAAACTTAATTATAAAGTTGTCTAAACAAAAGAGTCCAGAAGTACTATATGCTTACTCGTCTTCGGGTTATGGACTCATGTTTTTTTGTACATTTGTCAAATACCAATTCTAAAAAAACTTAAACGGCTGGTGCCTTTTCTAATTCTGCGCAAAATAGTTTGTTTGGCTGTGGCACCAACACTTAGAGTGAATGTGAATGTACTTTTTTATAAATGTTTATGTACAATGACGAGCTTGCATGATGCAGGTCTCTTATTATTCTAAGTGCTTTGTTGTTTTACATTTTTCACAATCTTGTATTCAAGAAAACAACAGAGTGGCTTAGTTGTTGAATGTTGAAGAAATCTAAGTTTCAAGGATAAATTCTGTGATTTATGGTCTTTAGCTACTTTTAACTGAATCATCAAGAATCAGTGCAGATATCCAACCCTAACAAGCGTGTGTGTGTGTGAACTCCCTTAAACATGCGTAAAGCTGAAAGTCAGCCCTTCATAGTCACTGTCTTTATTTTAAATCCAATGTGATGGAGTGCAGCCAACAACATAAAAAGATATCAGTGTCCTAATACTCTGTGACTGTACTGTACACACAGAGCAGACTATTATTAGCCTGCTGGTCTGATTCCTAAGAAACCCGCGAACATACATGTGAGAGTGTTGCCAAGGATACCATCATGTAGAAATTGTGGCTCTTGTGTGACAGGCAGCAGACAATCTTTGGCTTAGGTTTTATTATCTAGCTTTTTCCTGAATTCAAGTTCTTTTGTTGATCAAACTTGTAACTGCTCCCAACTGCTTCAGCCTACATCGGTTCATCCTCGTGATTGACAGCTGGTACAAATGGCGGGATCAGCAATGCTGCAATTATCAACGCTTTCATGAAGCAGACTTTTCTTTCACAGTCACATATTTCAAACTTTGCCTGTACTCAGTGGGTGTGACAGCATGCTGCCTTCTGAGATCGGTTAGGAACGTGGGCTCTACGAGCAAATATTTCCCAAGTTTAAAACCGATAAACAACTTTCTCAGAAGAGGCAACGCTTACAATTAAAGTATTCCACATGTAAACATCAGTATTCTCCATCGCCGAAATCAGAAATCGCAGAAATGGAAAATGTGAGAATGGGACCATGTGCTGTGTCACGCATGAACGAGCAGCCGCACATGACATACCCGCCGCAACACTCTGAATTTTTGTTTTTCTGGGTTGCTAGGCTCTATTTTCAGCCCAAGCAGACTGCTCCATGATTAATACATGATGGAGGGGAGGGGCGGAATTAAATATTCATAGCACGCGCACAAACACACCAAATGCATACTCTTGAATTTCATATTCTCGTAAAAGCCTGCTTTCCTTTGTTGCTTTAACATAATAGCTTTTTTTATTTTTCGCCAACACAGAAAACAGGTGGATGTTGAGGTGAGACCTAATGGAGACTTTCTCTAAGTCTAAGAGATGAAGAATATGACATTTTGACTATTGAGCTGTGTGTGTGTGTGTGTGTGTGTGTGTGTGTGTGTGTGTGTGTGTGTGTGTGTGTGTGGTGTGTGTGTGTGTGGTGTGTGTGTGTGTGTGTGTGGTGTGTGTGTGTGTGTGTGTGTGTGTGTGTGTGTGTGTGTGTGTGTGTGTGTGTGTGTGTGTGTGTGTGTGTGTGTGTGTGTGTGTGTGTGTGTGTGTGTGTGTGTCAGTAGGGTGGCGGTAGCAGATGGCAGAAAGATGACACCAGAGCTTTATAGGCGAGAGACAGGCCAAGCAATCATACACACAAAGGGAGAGTTGAAAGTGTAAGTGAGTGAGAGTGTTTTGCATCTTCCCTAATGGCCACCATCTTTATTTTATTTTATTTTGCCCTCCTTAAACCCTTGACGAGAACATGATAAATATGGAGTAGTTAAAAGAAAGAGAGCGTGTCAGATAAGCTGACTTGTAGACGTGTGTGCGGTAGATGTGTATATTTATCTCTATGTGTACAGGAGTGGTATCTCATGGAAAAGAAGCATGTTTATGGCGTGTCCACCCATGAATGTGCAGACTGTGACCTCTGATGCGTCGCGAGGAAGACAGGTCAAGAGCTCTCTGCCTTAACACACAATGATGAGAGAAAATCTCCATGGAAACCACGACAAACAAATATGCAGAGGGAGGAGGGAGGGAGTGAGACTCTTATGAGTACGGGAAAGGAGGAGTGTTCTTTTAAATGTAGTGTTGCTATTATTAACCCTAACACATCATCTTAAGGGTTTGTATGTCTTAATAATAATCTCCACAAGCCACTACATGCATGTGGTTCATAATAGTTTCCTGCTTAAGAGGCAGCAATTGAACCCCCAATGTTCCCTGGTGAAGCGTAGTTGATAACCTAATACATGCACAGGGCAAACATAACGTCGCAACACTTGAGTTCACATCCTGATATATTCATGCTTATTGGAATGGTTT